AAGATCACCGCAGACCTGGAGAGTTTCTTGCGCTCCTCTGCACTTGGTGGCAACTTCCGCCTCCAGAACACCAATAACTCTCCGATAACTGAATCAGCCTGCTGCTGGACACTGATATCATTCTCAGAAGAACATGGAAAGGATACAATTTGGTTTACTTGGGTCACCAACTGCCTGTGACTAGCTTGACATAATGCGGCTGGAACAACCAACCCAGGAAGCAGATCCTGAACCTCTGTCACAGAGGAATCCTGACGTGACAAAGCATCAGCGTTTCGGTTAATCTTACCTGATCTATACTTGACCTCAAAGTCAAACACCGCTAACTGGGCGGCCCAACGCTGTTCCATGGCACCCAACTTGGCAGAGGTCAGGTAGCTAAGAGGATTATTATCAGTATAGACTACACACTTATGACCCAGAAGGTACTCCCTAAACTTCTCGGTCATGGCCCACTTGAGCGCAAGGAACTCCAGCTTCATTAAACTGTAGTTAGAGGTATTGCGCTCAGTGGGCCTAAGACCACAACTACCATAGGCTATGGGACGCACCTTACCCTGCTGCTCTTGAGAGAGGACTGCAACTAACCCCCTATGACTGGCGTCCACCTCCAAAATAAAGGGGAGTGAGAAGTCCGCATATGCGAGTACAGGGGCTGTGGTGAGTCTACACCTCAATTCCTCAAAGCTACTCTGGCACTCACTAGACCAGGCCTGTTCAAATTCTTTGGGGCCATGCTTGGACCTTTTTGGGGCTGCCAGTTCTGCCACCAGCCTGTGGAGGGGAGCCGCCAACCTCGCAAACCCCTCCACAAAGCGCCGATAGTAACTAGCAAACCCCAAAAATGACCGCAGCCCCGAAACACTATTAGGCTGAGGCCACTGTGAAACTGCCTCAATCTTCCCTGGATCTGTAGAGACCCCTTCTGAAGAGATCACATGACCCAGGTACTGTACCTTACGCTTAAAGAAAGCACATTTTGACAATTTTGCTTTCAGGCCCTCTCTGAGCAACCTGCTTAAGACAACCTCCATCCAGGCTAGATGCTGATCTACTGAACTGGAAAACACCACAATATCGTCCAAGTACAAAAGCAGAGACTGGCACTGTTGGTCTCCAAACAACCGTTCCATTAAACGCTGAAAGGTGCTAGGGGCATTACAAAGGCCAAACGGCATCCGGTTCCATTCAAATAGCCCGAATGGAGTACAAAAAGCAGTCTTCGGTTTATCTGCCTCACCTACAGGGACCTGATTATACCCGCTAGCAAGGTCCATGGTAGAAAACCAGCATGCCCCCGCCAGCGAGTCTAAAGTCTCCTCAATGCGGGGTAAAGGAAAAGCATCCTTCCTTGTCTTAGCATTTAAACGACGGTAGTCTACACACATACGTAGGCTACCATCCTTCTTTTTAACCAAGACAATGGGTGACGCGTATGGACTACAACTTTCTCTTATTACTTGAGCCTCGAGCAGTTGATTTATGTGTGCTTTGACTACCTCGTATTCAGATGGAGGAATGCGTCTATAACGCTGCCTCACAGGTACGTCATCAGTCAAGGGAATCTCATGGGAAATGAGACTGGTACATCCCAAATCACCCTCATGTATAGAAAACACGGATGCATACTTCTCCAATAGTTCCCTCACCTTCCCTTGTTCTTCCGCTGAAAGTACAGACAAATCAATTTCCCCAATTTGTTCTTGTACAGACTGGACAGCCTGTGCAACCTGTATACTCACCCTAGCTGAAACTACTGGAACTTCAGAGATCTCTGGGGGCAAGCTAACAACGTAAACCTGGTTAACAGTCCCCACAACTGTGCCGGCATACACCACTACATCTGCGGTGCTAACATTCACCACAGGCACGTAAGCAGTTCCATGGTCTACCTGGACCAGTGCAGGGGATGCCAACAAACCTGCTGGAAGACCAGATTCTGGTGGCTCAAACAAAACAGTGCCCCTGGAGTATTGGGTTGAACAGGTTACGGCAACCAATTTGATGGTGCCTCCGGGGATGCGGCACACCTGACGTCCTCGTACTTTAACTCTACTTCCCTGATCCGAATCTGGCTGAACTTCAATGAGGTGGCAGTGTTGTAAAGCCTGAAATACAGAAGTGGGAGCCTGTGACACAGCAGGTAGATCAAAAAGCTGAGCGCCATGCCGGCCAAAGAGCTCCCGATAGCAGCGGCCCAGGATATTCATTCCCAGAACCCCAGGAACCTGAGCACACATACTACCCGGAGGGTCTCTGACCACCAGCACGCCACAACCTGTAACCACCTGTCCACACAACTCCACATCTAGCTCCAGGTAGCCAATATATGGAATCGAAAGGCCATTCGCGGCCCGAAGCTGCAACCAATGGCATGACCTAAGTTGTTCCTGACCCCATGCCCCAAAATTTGACACAAAACAGCTCTCAGTAATGGTGGACACCATAGACCCAGTGTCCACCAAACACTGTACCTTGACCCCGCTCATATATACAATAAGTTGAGGACACGATGCCATAAAGCGAGACATAAAATCTACCTCAGCTGAAACATTTGAGCCTGTTCTTCTCCCGACCAAGCTGTGGCCCTGCAGCTCAGCGGGTATTAGTTTTCCGACGGTTGCCCAGACTGCACACACCTTGTTGAAGCGGAATCAGCACGTGCTGGCGCGAAACGAGGAGGTCTCTGTTCCCCATCACATTCCCGGGCAAAATGACCAGGCTGCTGACACCGACGACAAATAACCTGATTAGACCGGGATAACTGAAGACGTGGTTGGAGGTTTTGAATTTGAGCCACATTTTGAGTCAACTGATTCAATTGCTGTTGTTGTTTTTTCAGCATTTCTCTCAATTCGCGCAATTCAGAACTTGCTAAATTACTACCTCCCGGAGGCTGATATCCCTGTACCCCATATTGGATGCCATAAGCAGATGGTACAGATTGGCTACGACCACGTGTTCCCCCAGGCATACCCTCCCGTTCCCAGCGCATTGCTTCACTACGAACGTCCAATAACCTAGCGTTAGGCTGGCGACGGACAAACTGTTTGAGTTCACGTCGAAGAGCACCATCACGAACGTGTTCAACAAATTGGTCGCGCAACAAAATATCTGCATTTGGCATCCCATGAGGCGACTGGCGCTTTACTTTTTCCAGGAGATTTAACAGGACTAGGGAAAACTCTAACAGGGTCTCCCCATCCTGTTGTTTCCTGGAAAAAAAGGACTCTTGAAGAGCTACATATGAACTAGTACAACCATATAATTCTCGCAAAGCCTGAAAAATTTTGTTTGGATCCTCCCTCTCATCCCTTGGCCGATATCGAATTTCATCCCTCGCCTCTCCCTCCAAATGATCAAACAGAAAAAATGCCTGATCAGAAGTAGAGAGATGGCGGAGTCTCATGCAAGTTTGAGCCTCCTCCACCCACTCTTCGATCATAATGCCAGATCTACCATTAAATTTTGGGCAATTTCGATCCCGTGGCACAAAAACAAATCGTTCCGCTGCTGAGGAACTAGGAACGGCAGGAAGAGGATCAACCACCGCCGGAATGGAAATATTAGAGGGACCAGGTTGTTCAACGGGCACTTGTTCGTGTCGCAATTTTTCATTGTCTGCCCTTAATTGGGCTACCAATTCTCGCAACTCACGTAATTCTTCATCCATAGTTACAAAACTACAAAATCACTCACCACTATGGGCTTGAAATCTACTCTCCACACTGAAACACCAATATGCCGCTGCCGCTATCTGCTCCTGCAGGAAAAAAAAAAAAAAAAAAAAAAAACAAGCCCCACACTACCAATACTCACGTCTATGCACTATACCATACGAGGGTCCTGCCGACTACGCCAGAATGTGGCAGGAGGGAAGAGTAGGGATTAACAATTTATCCACAAAGCAAATCCGACTACGCCACCTGAGAGGTTTTCTCCCAGGAAATAGAAATTGGCTTAAACCTTACTCTTAGGCCACACAGGTTCAGTTCTCATATGGATAGGCAAGAGACGTGGGTATAGTATAAAAGTACAAAATTTATTTTCAGAATTTGTGGCAGATTAAAATGGTCACATTACATTCTCTTAACATTTTGCCAGCACCCCCCTCCAACACAACTGCAGTAAAATAAAACAAAAAAAGAAAACAAATTTATAGAAGACAACAACAACGTTATTACAAAGTAAATATGAAAATGAAATTAACCGGCGAAATAAATTGAATAAACTAACTTACAGGGCTGAGGTCACACATGGGGGGGGGGGGGGTGGGGGTGGGGGGGGAATCACCAGTGCTCCGTTGTGTTCAAAAAGCACACTTCCACACACACACCACACTAGATCCACACACTCCACACTTCCCAAACCGTCCACAGCAAAAATGTCAAGTGCAGTGACACCACCACCACCTCAAGATCCTGCACCCATGGGACCTCAGTTCCTGCAAGAAAAATCAAAATCAATATACGGGATAAATTATACAAGAGTAAAACAAACGACAAACCACACACAAGAAAAGAAAAACCAAATACAGCTTCTGTAGTTTCGCTATAGAAAAGCAAGATTCACACAGAACACAAAACTCACTCTTTTGCACGCCGAATCACACAACCAAACAGAACAAAAATCACAAATTATATAACAGTAGCAATAGGAGATAGTAGTAGCAGGTCGTAATAACAACAGCAGTAAATAGAGCAGGTAACAGTTAGTCGTAGCAGTTAGCAGTAACTGCAACAGTAGAGTAGCAGCAGGCAGATAGTAGTAGCGGATAGCAGTAGCAGCTAGTAGTAACTGCAGCAGTAAATGTAGCAGCAGCAGATAGTAGTAACGGGTAGCAGTAGCAGCTAGTAGTAACTGCAGCAGTGAATGTAGCAGCAGCAGATAGTAGTAGCGGGTAGCAGTAGCAGCTAGTAGTAACTGCAGCAGTGAATGTAGCAGCAGCAGATAGTAGTAGCGGGTAGCAGTAGCAGCTAGTAGTAACTGCAGCAGTAAATGTAGCAGCAGCAGATAGTAGAAGCAGGCAGCAGTAGTAAACAGTAGTAGTTCTTTCCACTAGAGATCTCAGGATAGCAGAATCTTTCAAACACAACCGGAGTAATGTTACAGATGCTAGATCTTTATTTATAATCGCCCAGGACAGAGAGGGAGAATCCTACAAGAGATATGCACATGCAAAAACGGTTACTGTTTGCAAAATCACACGCTAGCATTCCCCTTTAATCTCTACATAAGAAACTTACCAAGCCGGGAGTAGTACACTCATGTATTACGAATTAGTCATCTCCATTTATGCTACAAGCGAGCTGAATGGGTGGCAGTCATTAACTCCATGGCAACCAACAGGAAAACCAACGAAAAACCAGGCTAAAAATGAAACCACGATGATTAATCCAAACGTTAATCGAAAGAGAGAGAGAGAGAGACACACACACACAACCGCTAACATACCTGAAACAGATGTCAACAAACGCGGAACAAGAAAGGCGGGGCTGGAGGTGACACATCACCTAACACAGCCAACCGGCTCTAAAATAGGCAGCACTGGCCCCTGATTGGTTGTTATCAACATCAATCACTACCACTTATCCTATACACGGTCACACTAACATTTCAGCTAAAAATTCTGTGCAAATTCAGTGCAAAAAATGCAGTGTCTCTCTATGAGGACACTTTCCCGGCATTTTACATCTCAGATAACTAACACTAAAAAAATATGAGAATGTTTCATATGACTCACACATGCTTATTCTGAATATATGTGACAGACACTTGTCAGATGATATTTTAGAGAGCAGGCGTGAGCTTCAGCTGTGTCCTCAGTGTCATTTTCTGTCTGATTCAGGCTCACACTGATACGGCTAACAGCTACTCTGACTGATAGGATTTACACATCGCAAAAGTGCGTGCTTGTAGAGCCGTGACACTTTTCCTGGTGACGTGAAGCCAATCTGCAAATCACAGCACAATACATTAGCTGACCAATCAAAGCCTCTTGAGGACAGGCCTTTCAGAGGAACTAGGACATATGACATTTGTCTTCATGTTAGCTAAGTAGCTGTATATAGTCAAAGTCAGATATATAAAAATAAGCTTTTCTACAAATAAAGCATGAGCACACATCGCATTGCATTCTATCAACACAACCAAGCCTTAAAAACACACTCTAGACCCCCCCTTTAAGGACATCCAGGCAGTCTAGAGGTGTTTGAAACCTCCAGAAAGGTAGGCTTGCATCATCATGGAGGGTTTCACCAGCTCCACTATAGCTCTGTGCTCATGCTGTTTATCCTAATCAACTCAACTCAATTTATTTCTAGAGCACTTTCAACCAACCACAATGGCTACCAAAGTGCTGAACATAAAACACAGAATACAAGCAAACATACAAGAAACTAAATACATCAACTCACAACACACAAGTAAAAATTGAAGAAAATAAGTGTTTCAGTGACCTCTGAAAACACTCAAGAGTTGGAGAAGTTCTTAAGGAGAGTGGAAGATCGGCCCAGAGTCTTCAGCTGTGACTAAAAAAGCTCTATCACCCCACATTTCAAGCGTGATTGTGAAACTGGCAAATAGAGTCGATCCTTAGTGTGAAGAGATCTCACGGGTTGGTGTATATTAATTAGCTCAGAAATATACTCAGGGGCCATGGAGGGATTTAAAAACATAGAGCAGTACTTTGTACTGAATTCTAAACTGGATTGACAGCCACACTGCAAATTTTAGATAGTAGATTTAACTACCTTGGAGTTAAAATTAACACTCCCTCAGAGTTTATATGGGAACCACTATAAGTGTTAAAAATAACACTTTTGAAAGTGTTTACATTGTCAACACCAAGAGAGTGTTGAATAGCAAACTCTTATTGTGTAAAATATCTGTTAAATTTCCGAAAAAATACCTGTAACGGGGAGACTGACACGGAGGGATCCATTTTGCAGTATTTATTAAGTCACACTTAAACATCAACACCTCGCACGGCTGTGCGAACATACAACATACAACTCAACTAGGGTTGGGCATCTTAGCTATAATGCCGACCCGATACGCATCTCGATACAAAGAATACGATCCGATATATTAGCGATACATTTGTGACATATTGCGATGCAACACGATACGATTCACACCCATATCACGATACGATGCGATATTTCAGCACTAACTAATTAAATCAAGTTTATGAGATGATGTGAAAGAGGATGCTGTGCCATTGAATGAGTTTGATTGATTACTTATTAACCAAGCAAAACCAAGACTTTTTTTTACAAACTGGCTTTTCTCTCAGAGCCAGAGTGTCAGTTTACAGTAGAGGGCCATTTTAGAACATATAGCACATATTATTTAAGTATTTTCAAGATAAACAGAATGTATAAGTGCAATATATATTAAAATATATATATTTGCACTCTTTCAACATAAATAAATTTAGCATTGCACAACAAGAATTGTGATTTAACTTTTCAACTATGAAAACAAGTTTTACAAAGATATATTGTGCCACTGAATATTCAAAACTTAAGGTCGTGAACTAGCAGTGTTATGCTGCGTTGAAACATCACTGTCACTGTAAACAACAGGCTAATAAAAATATAACAAACCAGCAATCTTCTTGCTGTGAGGTGGTCAAACTACCCACTGTGCCACCGTGACACCCATTATTTTTATCATTATTATTATTAATATTATTATTATTATTATAATTAAATAAAAATTAACAGGAGGAGGTGTTTAAAACCTTCGTTCTCCGTGACAGTAGGCTGAATATCTTTGCAGATGAACAGGGCCGGCACGTCCATAGAGGCGACCTAGGCGGCCGCCTAGGGCAGCAGTAAAGAGAGGGCGGCGTCCGCAACACCCCCCTTACCACCCGCATCCTCAGTTATGTCCGCGACACCTCCATCAGCGCCCGCTTGTCCTCAGTTATATCCGCGCATAGGGTGGCAGAATAGAGGTCCGCGACACCCGCGTCCTCAGTTATATCCGCGCATAGGGCGGAAGAATAGAGGTCCGCGACACCCGCGCGTCCTCAGTTATATCCGCGCATAGGGTGGCAGAATAGAGGTCCGCGACACCCGCGTCCTCAGTTATATCCGCGCATAGGGCGGCAGAATAGAGGTCCACTGGAAAATGGAGCTTTCACAACAACACCGTGGCGCCGCTTCAAGTGAGGTTTCAGATTAGTCGTACTGCCCGCGTATTTTACAGATGCGCGGCACACTTTTGCAAATTGCATCTGTCCTGTCATGTCGTCCATCCTTAAATCCATGATGTTGCCATACTTTAGATTTAAAACTCAGTGGGGAATAAAATGTTTGTTTTGCTTCTCGCGCTTTCCTAGGGCGCACCACTAGCTTCATCCGCACACCTGATACACTGAGTTGTAGTGTAAGTGTACACATCCGCAAATCCGTTAGGCTTACTTTATGTAGGTCGATTAAATTATGCGCCAAAAACAGGTTGACAACACTTGTTAATAAATAAAAAATACATTCTATATTAAAAATATAAGCTGTATCTTGGAAAAACCGATGCATCTCGCAAAAACCGATGCATCTCGATTTGCTTCCAAAATTTCATTCATCCTCTGCTGCTCAACCGATGCACTCGCATCGTGCACGCGCATGACCGCGTATCGATACATATCGATTAATCTTCCCATCCCTAAACTCAACGATGATTAGCAGATAACAGAGGCAGAGTGATTACCAGGCTTGAGTCAAGGGCAGGCAGCGTGGTTCAGAGTCCGTAATACAGGCTTTAGTCAGGGGCAGGCAGCGAGAATCAGAGTCCGTGTAATCAGGCTTTAGGTCAAGGGCAGGCAGAAGACAGAGCAGAGTCGAGAAACGGGCTGAAGTGGTCAACGGGAAACCAGGCAGGATAGAACGCTCAGAAATGCTGGCCGGGGCTAAACAAGACTTCGCAATGAAGTGAGTGTGTGAGCTGCTTATATGTGGTACGTGGGTCATTAGTGAGATGGAGAACAGGTGTGCTGGGATCTGAGTGAGAAGGATGACGTAATGGTTAGAAGTCCGGAGATGGTGACCTCTGCTGGTCAGCGAGGGGAATGACTGGGACCGAGTCGGTGACAGAGCCCCCCCCCAACGAACGGCTCCTGAAGTGAGGCAATTCTTGACGCCGGGGTCTTCCACGGGGGCGAGGGGCCGTCATCTCCGGATGTTGTGAGTGGAACTCTTCCAGTAGTGTGGTGTCGAGGATGTCCTTGCGGTTAATCCAAGATCTCTCCTCCGGACCGTACCCCTCCCAATCGACGAGATATTGGAGTTGTCCGCCCCGGCGTCTGGATCTCAGGATCTCGTGGATCTGGTAAGCCTCTTCGCCATCGATCATAAGAGGCGGGGGACCCTGTTCACCGGCTGCCACCTCCCTATCCGTCTCGGCTGGACCAGCAGCAGGCTTGAGCAGAGAGACATGGAAAGTTGGGGAAATACGAAAATGATTAGGGAGTGTCAGTCTGAACGAAACAGGAGATATTTGTCTTTCTATCTGGAAAGGACCCACGTACCTGGGACTGAGTTTCTTGCAGGGCAGCTTGAGGCGTAAGTCGCGGGTGGAAAGCCATACCCATTGTCCTGGGGAATACATGGGACCAGGACGTCGGTGTCGATCGGCTTGTTCCTTGAAACGCCTTACGGCGTGAGAGAGGTGAGTGTGAGCTGCGTTCCAGACCTCTTCGCAGTTTTTAAACCAGGTATCCACCGCAGGGAGTTCAGAGGTCTCGCCGGACCAGGGAAAGAGCGGAGGTTGGAAGCCCAGCACGCATTGAAATGGGGTTAATCCAGTAGATGCCTTTCTGAGGGAGTTCTGAGCATATTCTGCCCACATCAAAAATTTGGCCCATTCGTTTTGGTTCGAATGACAATACGTGCGGAGGAATCTGCCGATTTCTTGGTTCAAGCGCTCTTTTTGCCCGTTGGATTGGGGATGATAGCCGGATGTTAGGCTAACGTTGATTTGGAGATTTTTAAAGAATGCTGACCAGAGTCGGGATGTAAACTGGGGACCTCTATCCGACACGATGTCTTCGGGGAGACCATAGTACCGAAATACACACTCGCAGAGTAATTCGGCCGTTTCCATGGCTGTGGGCAGTTTGGAAATGGGGATAAGGCGGCAGGATTTTGAAAATCGGTCCACTACGGTGAGGATGGTGGTTTTGCCCTGAGATATGGGTAAATCGGTGATGAAATCTATAGCGATGTGTGACCAGGGGCGATGTGGCACCTCCAGGGGTTGGAGTAATCCAGCTGGACGGTGACGGGAGTGTTTGGACATCTGACAGGGTGAGCATTTGTTGATGAAATTGATTACATCCTTGTGTATGGATGACCACCAGTAGCGGGATTGAATCATTTGTACGGTGGCTGTGCTGCCTGGGTGACCGGAACTGGGGTGATCATGTACCTCGGAGATGAGTCTTTCTCGAAGTGACGGGGGAACAAAGATTTTATTCTCTGGACAGGGCTGCTGAGAAGGATTATTTTCGGCGGCTTGAAGGATCTCCTGTTCTATATCCCACTGGATGGGAGCGACAATTAGAGGATCTTTGATTATGGGTTCATCAGGGATTTCAGAGGTCTCATCGTCTGAGAGGCGGGACAGAGCATCTGCTTTGATGTTTTTCGAGCCAGGGATATAGGTGACTTGGAAGTCAAATCGGGTGAAAAACAGCGCCCATCTTGCCTGTCTAGGATTCAGACGTTTACAAGACCGCATGTATTCTAGGTTCTTGTGATCAGTGATGACGATGAAAGGGT